TTAATTATTATTATTTAGTTGTGTTCATTTATAGGTTCTTCTATATAGTGTCTTGTAATGAAATTCTACTGATGACCTTGATCATAGTTGATCATATTCATAAGCATTGTTTTCTTCATATATATAAATATTCATCTTATCAGTAATTATCTAATTACATTGGTCTTTAACCATGTGATTTACTGACTTTTATTATATAAACTGATAGACAACTATTATTGTCTTATCACGTCTAGTAAGTTTAAATTGACTTGAGTTCATAGGAATTCCTTATTATTCTTATATATTGTCTAAAAGAAATGAAAAAAAAATCTTTAACATTGAATTATTCAACTCAATATATACATGTCATACATACATGATATTGAAAGCTCAATGATTTAAATTTAATTGCAGGATGTTTGTTATTAAATAATTCTAGTAGTTGTTCTTTTCTAATGTTCTAATCGATAATGATGAAAGTGTCGTCAACGTAATGACAGTAGAAATCAAGCTAATTGATCATTTCTTTGAGAGGTCCATTTTCTAGTTTCACCAGAAAAAAAACTTTAATAACACAGATTATAGACAAATTGATGGCATAGCGATGGGTTCGCCTTTAGGTCCCATCCTTGTGGATCTTTTTCTGGCAAAACTAAAAAACGAACCTCTCAAAGAGGCTATCAGTTAGCTTAATTTGTACTGTCATTACGTTGATGACACTTTCATCATTGCCTATCGGAACATTAGAAAAGAACAATGACTAGATCAATGATTTAAAGTCTAAACCATTACTCTTAGAACTGATATTATCTTAATTTCATCCATTGCTAGATTGTTTATAAGTATTGATATACAATTTCTAACTAGAATTAAATAAGTGTTTTCAGTGCTTCCTAGATTTCAATACTCTTTGAATTGATATCACTTCAAGACAAAAATTTCCCATTAAAACAATTTTATTTTTGATGAAATCAAATGTTTATTTTTTTTAAAAAGCTTGGATACTTTTATTGTACATCTACGATAGAAAAGTGATTATTATTCTAATCAACATAAAGACTGTTCGTTTAAACATTTTAATCATGTTTTTTGTTTGTTGCTATGGCAACATAACACAGTGGAATTCATATTATACAATTATTTATAGTTTATTATAGTTAAATAAAACACCAGGTATCATTGATCTCATTTTAATAAAGAATTGTTATTCACGAGATTTTGGTTTTTGAATACTAAATTCTTGATTCAAGCTTTTCTTTTATTGGTTATTTTGTTAAAATTACCAATAGTTACTGAGTTTAAAACTGTAGAAATATACACAGATTCTACGTATTTAATGAATTCATTAAAGTCTTCTATAGGTTCATATGCATGTAAAAAAAGAGACATAATTCGTTTTTATGATTATAGCCTATTCATCTCCTTAAACCCTTATAAGGAATCAAAAAGATTTTTAATGGACTCCACAATGTTCTTGGTTAGGGTTATGATTCGGGGTTCAGGGTCTTTTGAATGAACACAAACTAATGTAAACGACAACACCAAAGCCCTTTGCAGATATATGAATAAGCAAATGATAAATGGGTAAAAATCTAAGAGCTGCTGTTTGGTTATTTTATCTATAAAATATATCACAACTTGATTAAAGTTTGCTTTAGGATAAATAGCTTATGGATGGTATTCAAGAACTTCGATATCTTGCGTAAATGTTTAACCTCAAAACTACGAAGTTTGAGCCCAAAATTCTTGGGTTCAATCCTCAATTGCAGAGTTGAGGACACTCACTGCTCAAAAATCTTACACTAGAACGTAACAAGTGTCTATTGTTTCCATGTTTTCAATTGTTATCAAATTAAAATCGGTTCAATATTTTGATAAAATCATTTATCAATTCATATCAATGGTTAGTTGAATTTCAAACTGGCTCCTACTGTGTGTGTATGTGTTTGTATTGACAACTATAACATTAGCAATAAATAAAAACACATACACACAGTAAAGTTGAATGTATCGTTTATTGCTATGTGTTTTACACATTTCTTATTATCAAATAAAATCGGAAAGATATTCTTGTCAATTTACTCAACTTATTCACCAATACCCCCCCGCCCGAATTTTTTTATGATATACAAACAAATCAATGATAAGAACTGTCAATTACCGGTCATTCTCTTGTATTATAGTAAAAAAAGTAATACATGTGAAAAATTCAACATTGATCAACACATTCAAAAATGCCACGGGCATTTTATTTCCCCTTCAAACTATTGTATCAAAAAATGTATAATACTTAATGATAAATAATAGTTGCTATGGTTTATTTACCAAGATGATAACAACAATGTACATATGTATATATGTTTTAAGTGTAAGTATGTAATAAATGTAATATTATTATGATTATAAACACATGTATATAAACATATGAAATATAATGAATAATTTGGTTTATTGCTTACTTTTATGATAATGAAAATAAATCTTGAAAAGTACAAAGAATCATATATAGAGAGAGAGAACTTGAATTCTAATACATGTTATATGAATATCATCACATTACTTTACATGTTACCATGTTATCAATGTTTTGTTATTATTAGAAATACAACATTACATTTAATATGCAATACTATATAGTTAACATAAGGATAATATACACAATTATTATTGAAACATTGAATAGAAGATAAATGATAATAATAATAATTTATGATCTGTGTTTGTTTTGTCATTTTTATTGAATTCCTCTATTACATATGTTATATATATATATATAGAAGAATTAGTTGCTATGATGCCTATACATGTCTATATGAAAATGCAAGTAACATAGTTCGACTATAGAATGATAAGTTACAAGTGAATTTTTTTTATTTTTAATTTTAATTTTCAGACAAACAAGAATGAGAAGTGTAGATTAAGTTTCTTTTTACAAAATAAAAAGTGCCACTTAGCCCCAGTTTGTATACAGATTAGTTTTGTACATTAATTTATTCTGTCTACCACGTGTTATAAATTTTGTTTTTATCACTTACAAAATATCAATAACCAACTATCATATGAACTTTATTCATAAATCATAAACTTGTCTGAATGGTAGTAATTATTATATTGTATAAATCAGATATTAACACCGTTGGATACCGGCCAGCTCAGTGGTCTAATGATTAAGCGCTCTCACGTGAGACTAATAGGTCCTGGGTTCGAACCTTGCGGGGGGGGGAGATCGTGGATTCGCGTTGCTGGGGCGTCTCATACTAGGATAAAACGGCCATCGAGTGCTTCCAGGTTTTTCATAGTGGTCCAACTTCAAATGACTCATGATTTCAACTATTGAAATTACTATAATATCCACAAAAACCCTTCTGATATGAATTAAAGAATTATTTGAACATTCTATTTTATGACTGCCATTCATATTTATGATTAAACTGTATGATTTAAATCTTGGGCAATATGATTCTTGATTACAGATCTAATATCTTAGTTAATCATTGAAAACAAAACACGAGTTAATGTAGAATGAAATATTTCTATGCATTATTTAAATTCTATAGTGACTAGTAGTGAAATATATGATGTTTATTTCATCTTATTTAAACTCATCAATTGGATGTACTTACATCCCAATGTTAATGTTCATACTGAGATTCAGACTCAGGTCTCGTCGCTCTAATGGTCCAGTGTATTATTTGATTACCTGTGGAATCAGATAGTGCTAGAATATATACATGCCAATCAAAACTGATCGATTCCGATTCCTTAAATCAATAATGAGAAAAATACAAACTATAATTTATGGACGACCTTGAGTGACGCTAAACTGACCCTGAGAGTGTTCACCTAACATTTAAGACCCAATAAGGGTTAGTGTGAGGAATTCGAATGATGATTTACAGTTGATGATTAAGATTAAGAAATAGATTTAAGGTTTTCATCAAGAACTGACATTGGATATAATGCCATAACTCTATTTATCCAAATGGATGAGTGAATTTCTCGCCAAAATCTTATACCTGATTGATTCATCCATAAATTATAGTCTCGCCGTAATATCATATAATTTAAAATTAATAAGAAAGAACTGCTTTGTAAATAAATGAATGATCAGTTGTTTTCGAAGCCACATTTATTGAATACAAGTAGTAATAGAAAGTATGAATAGTAAAGTATCTACACCTGATCTGACGTGTAGGCTTGATTCAATAAGAAAGAATGTAGAAAATGGGAAGACATTTATATGAACAAAAGTTTAACAAGGCCATCTAGATTTCTTTATAGTCCAACATTAAAATATCAGAGAAAGGCTTTTTGTGGGTATTATGGCAATTTAATAGTTGAATTCATGAGTCAATTGAAGTCAATTGAAACCTGGAAGCACTGGACGGCTGTTTCGTCCTAGTATGGGAATTCTCATCAGTGCGCAAGAGGTATTTCACGGAGTTCTAGTGAGAAGCAGTGACCGGTGGAGTTCAACCGGATATGTTGTGAGATAGTAACTCATTGAAGACAATGGTGGATGTGTCAGTCAATTTCGTGGATTAGTTGAAGTTAGACATTAACACCGTTGGATGCCGACCTTCTCAGTGGTGTAGAGGTTAAGCGCTCGCTCGTGAGACCGATAGGTCCTGGTTTCGAATTTCGCAAGGCGGGGTCGTGGATGTGTGCTGCTGAGGAGTCCGGCAGTAGGACGAAACAGTCGTCTAATGCTTCCAGGTTCCCCATGGTGATCTAGCTTCAATCGACTCATGAATTCAACTATTAAATTAAAATATCACCTACGTTATAATGAACAAAGTCTTGGTGAGGATAATCAATTGATTCTTCTATGTGAAATTACAGTGTTTTTACAAAATACGTTAACCTTACATTAAGTAAATTATTTGCACATTTTCCCTAACTGAATCAAATATGCCATATATTTACATACTACTGAATATTTCACTTACATAAATGTTCATTTAAAAAAAAAAGTATTTCTTATTGCTAACATTTTGTTTTGTTTCTTTTATATTCAGTCGAATGTTTCCATCATTCAAAGTACGTGTTACAGGATTAGATAGAAATTCAAAATATATTATGTTATTAGATATTGTATCACGTGATGAACATCGATATAAATTTCAAAATGGTAAATGGACAATTGCAGGTAAAGCTGATCCAGAACCATGTCGTAAACCGTACATTCATCCAGATTCTCCAACAACCGGTGAAGAATGGATGCATAAACCAATTTCATTTCATAAATTAAAATTAACTAATAATGTAGCTGAAAGACAATCTTTTGTAAGTTGTGGTTATCTTATTGTTATTATTATTATTATCTTGGCCTTTGTAATCACAACTAGTGTCTTTCCTGAGTCTGCTTTGGGTGAGACTATAGTTTATGGACGACCATCGAGCGACAGTAAAGTGACCTTGAGGATTTTCAACTACTTACTAGGGTTAAATAAGGGTCATAAACCAGTGTGAGGAATTATGCTTATGATTTACAGCTTATGGTTAAGTTTAGAAATTAGATTTGGGGTTTTTATCACGAACTGACATCAGCTAAAATGTCAAAACGCTTTTTAGCCAAATGGATGAATGAATTTCACGCCAAAATTGAAGGCATATCATCTTATATCTGATTAGTTAGTCCAGAAATAATGGTTTTGTCCCCGAAGATTTATTTTGTTAGGTATTTGTGTAGTGATCGTAAACTCAGGTGGGGAAAACTAATCTATTTTTTTAATTCATAATTACCGAGCGCTGTTATACAACATTGACAATCACAAATTCAATAAGTTATTTGCACATCTTCCTTCAGTTTTCCTTTACATGCTTCATGATTCTTTCAATTCTGTTGTTAGTACAATTACTCTATGTTAACATTTCTGTTCTCTTCCATTGAATCTTCTCAGTCTTCTGCTAGCAGGCATTCCACTTTCGATCGGTTTTACATACTACTTATATCTGTCAACCTAAGTAGTATACACCACATATGACTTCCAAGAACAAAGCTATAATTATATTTTGGATAGTAGCTAATAGTGGAGTTCACATCTTGCATTTCAACTTATTTAGAACTAGTCAGCTATATATACTTGCATCCGATTACTAAGGTTAACACTGTGATATGATTCAATTATGTGCTATTGAACTCTGATTTTTTCTCTATATTTCTTTAAGTTGTAGAGCTGAAGCATTTTAGCGTTTTAAAACTTACATTTCTATATTAGTGTATGGATTTGTGATAATTGTTAAATTTTAAACATAGTATCACGCAATAACTCTAGTTAGGTGACCATTGAAATACAGGAAGTAATGAACAGTTGTTACGCTTCAGCAAGTGACTTCAAATCAGCACATCTCCATGAGTTTAACCGGTGATAAAATTCAAGACACTCGAGTTTCTTAATCTTTAGACCAATGAACCTGTATTTAGTTTCGGAAAGATGAATTTAAAAAAGATCCCTGATGTATTCAAGATGATCTTAAAATATCAAACTTGAATTACGGAAACAGGGAGAGTGAAGGAGAGAGAGAACGAAACCGACAAATTGAATAAGTGAGTATATGTGTTCTTTTTTCTAGATTTTGCTTACATCACAAACATTGTTAGTAGCCAATTACGATTGACTTTTTCCAACAATCAATGTGTTCATATGTCTGTTATTTGATCGTCAACCACGGCACTTATTTATAATTTCGAAGTAAAGCGACACTCTGATTAAATATTAATTATAAACTGATAAAGACTTACCTTTCGCACTAAACTAACAACTTAGAAACCAGATATTCAAGTGTTCTTGTAATTTTCAATGTTTCAATGTACAACATGCATTTTAATGTCCCATAACGAATTGATTTAAATGAAAGCTTACATCACGAACTGATCTTAACCATATCATCATGAGAAACCGAGAGTTCCGCCCTATTCTGGGACTCCTCAGTAATGCTTATTCACGATCCCGCATTCAAAAGTCGAATCCAGGATCTTCAGTCTCTCATTGAAACGCTCAACCTCTAGACCGCTAAGTTGGCATCCAATGATTTACATATATAACTTCATACATAAATTAATATCTGTTAATCTCCGTTATAAAAGAAATGAAATATATGAAAATGTTTTCTAAATAATGGAAAGATATTGATATATTGTTTTAAATTTTATATTTCAGCAAGCTGTACTCAATTCAATGCATAAATATATACCAAGATTTCATATTGTTCGTGCAGATCATCTAAATAAAATGAATATGTCCAATTTTGTTACATTTATCTTCGATGAAACTGAATTCATCGCTGTAACCGCCTACCAGAATGAACGAGTAAGTTTAATTATTTAAGTGTTTTCTCGTTATTAAGCGTCGTTGATAATCGGCTGAGAAATGCATGTTGAATTATGTAGGTGGATGGAGGTGGTTAACATGAAGCCTCTGACCCAAGTTACGCGTTGGTTGATACACGCTAGCAAACTGTACCGATAATTTCTTTGGAGAGGGGACTCATACCCTGAGAGAGACTCAAATTCACGTCGTCTAATTTTACACTCTGAGAACCTACTTGTAGCTATTTAGGCCATGAACTAACCTTCTCTAGGACAGAGCTTTTATATCTGATTGATCACTGACCAATTTCACACTTATTTAGTCTTTTAGTGATGACTAAATTCTTTTGATTAACTTGCACTATAGTTGTCAAGATCAAACTTAAAACGGCTTCTTATGTTTGCATTAAACAATTTTTGTTTTTGTTGGACACTCAATCACTATCAATATAGGGCTATGGAGATCGTTGAGCTTTGATTAAGATCGTTAATTGATCAATGTTAGACTACCATTGAAAATCTTGAAGCACTGGAGGACTGTCTTGTCCTAGTATGAGACTCCTCAACAGCGCGTAGTCACGATCCCTTACGAGGACTCGAACCCAGGAAAATAAAAAAAATATTGGGTTGAATATTTGAATTAAAATTACATTTTCCTTTATGGGTAATTTTTGCCATTAGTAACTTACACAATACAAAAACCATATGTTAATAATCATGTAGTACATTTGTGTACAATCATTCATCTATTTTTTTTGTTTAAAATAACGTCGAGAATTTATTAAGTTGAACTGTTGATTGTTCATTAATGAATGACACTTAAAAATAGGATAGTAACAACACTGGACACTTGTTTCTACGCTTAAGATTCAAAGGTAAAATAGATGAAAATGAGAATTAATATTAACATCATTTAACATCTTATTTTTCGTAATATGTATTACATGTCTTATTCTTAATGATGTTTAAATTCTATCAATCACATTACAATGCGGCCACTAGTCTAACTGATTTAATATTGAGTTCACCATATTTTAATGTTTGGCAATTGAAAGAAACCGATGGCGAAAAATCGTTTTTAACTTAAGTTTGATGATGATTAGGACTTGAAAGATTTATTGCTTTTAGTGGTATTTAAACTTGCACCAACCAATTGTATAATTACAAACATTATCACTAAGCTATTCAGTTCTTAACTGATCATCTACTCCATGTAACAATTGAAATCTCTAGTCTCTTTGTTCAGTATGACATAGCTACAATCGAATTTTAATGTTCTTTTTAAATAACTGATATAGAGCTTTTCACATAATAGAGAAAATTTATAGCTAAAGTGAATAATTTTAGTGAAGTCACTCTCACTCTTTCTCTCTCTGTGAGGTTAATGATTTAATCGTGACACTTTCATCGTCCTTCTAAACAACATTATCAGCATAAACTTCGTGGAAAAATTAGTTATTCGAATTCTTTTATCGGAAAAGATCCAGTTTAGTAATGAATTAGTAAAATCATATACAAATATCAGATCAATAATCAAGTTAAAGAGGAAGGAGAGAAGATAATCTGAAGATAATAACAAGATATTAATAATAATTAATCAAGATTAAAGTCAATCAAAATTGATGAAATTGTCATTTCTCATTTTAATTGAAAGTTTGTGCTGATTATGTTATTTAGAAGAATAATGAAAGCTTCATGAATAAATCATCTAACTGAAAGAATGGTGAAAACCATGAACAGATAAAAATATAGAATATATATATATCTGTTGTGAGATATCGGCTCACTGAAGACAATCGTGTACGGTGGTGCAACTTTGTGGATTGGTTGAAATTAGACATTAACATCATTGGATGCCGACTCAATGGTCTAGTTGGTTAATCGCCTAGTGCGAGACTAATAGGTCCTGTGTTCGAATCTCGCGGGGTGCGAGATCGTGGATACACACTTCTGAGGAGTCCCATACCAGGACAAAACGGCCGTCTAGTACTTCCAGGTTTTCCATGGTGGTCTAGCTTCAATTGACTCATGATTTCAATCAGTGAAATTTCTAAAAATCTCCACAAACCCCTTCTGATATATATTACATTATCGTTCTACAAAAACTCAACATTAAATGTTACAATAATCATATCCTTTTAACTAAGAATTGAATCTATTGAAAAAGTGAACATTTTTAAACACATTTACTTTTACTGTACACGTACACATACAAGTACACGTATACGTATACACACACACACAACCACATACACGTATACACGTGCTCATGAATACTCTATTCACTACTTAATACACACGCATATAAATATAAATATCTATTGACATTATCGTTCATAAATGGTCTAGTGAAATGTATTCGTTCACTTCAAATAACCCGTATTCTAGATAATCATATGATAATCATAATAATTATTATCTATTCCAGTTACCATTTTTCTTTTTTTTTTAAAAAACAAAAAAAAAGAAAAAATTTTTTTTTGGTAAACACGTGTTTGTTGAATATTTATCATAAATAGTTTTTCTTCTTTCTTTTTTCTTTTTGTTTTTGAACGTTGATCTTAACACCTAGAGCACACACACACACACACGCCCCCACAATCACATCAAATCACATTACACCCACATATAAATAAATAAATAAATATTTACAATTGAAAATTCATGTTTCAACTAAATAACTATGTAGACAGGAAAATTCTTATCAGCATAAATAAATAGATCTTTGTTCATAGTTTTTCTTTCTTTTTTCTTTCTTTTGTTTTTCTCAATAAAGTTCATCCAGTTTTTTTAAATCATTTTGACAATTTTTTTGTTTTTTTTTGGTTGTTTGAAGAGAACACCTTCATTTTGATAGTCTGATGTTGTTGTTGTCGTTCTTTTTTTTTAATGTAAGAATTTAGAATGAAATGGTTGGACTATTTTTCTCTTTTTTTAATTTTCTTTTTCTAAAAAAAAGGAAAAAATAACTTACCGACAAATGAAAATCAGTATAAAAATCTAAATTAATACGATGGGGTTTGTCTTAATATCTGGTCATATTTATTTTTTATTTATAAAAAAACCCACATGGTAAACAATTGGATCTATTAATTGCGAAAAAAAAAATGTAATGTTGATTATAATCGAGATCATGAAACGATTGATGTTAGATCAACGTTGAAAACCTGGATGCACTAAACGGCTGTTTCGTCCCATTGTTGGACTCTTCAGTAGTGCGCGTGATTCTAATCGAGAGCCTTCAGTTTTACGTGCGAACGCTTAACCTACTCAACCACTGAGACGACCGGCGTCTAATGGTGTTAATGTCTAACTTCAACCAATTTACGAAATTACACGACCATCTTCCATTGTACTATGGTAGATACCTGTTTCTACCCGACGTAAATTAGCTCCAGTGGTCACGGCTCCTCACTAGAACTCCGAGAATTCCTTCACGAAGCTAATCACTAATGAGCACATGATAATTATCAGTAAATATCTAAGTAGTAGTAAAAAATAACAAAGTGATTAGGTAAAAAGTATTTGAATCTATTGGAGATCATCAATTCGCTCAAGACTATAGGTACTCAAGATTATTTGAAAAAAAATCTTCAATGATGACCTTGTTCTAAAGGAAATCGAATAAGAAACTTATGCATAATGGAGAATTTGGTGACTAGTTGATTCAGACTTGATCTTTGTGTTTAGAATTAGTATATCCAATCATTTAATTAACTATAGTTCTAATAATATTACCTTCATATTCTGTTAGTTATTTTTTGACACGCGTTTGTTTTCTTCTTCTTGATCTATCTATAATCATCAAGCGTAGAAAATTATCTTTCAGATCTCTTTTCTGTATGATAGTGTAATTAATCTTATTACTGTTCAACTATTACGTAACTTTAAGTTCTGACTAACTTTCAGAATTTCTATTATTCATGCGATCATTCTCTATTTTTATTACAAACCATTAGATGTAAAAAGAAACCCATAAATACTATTGCACAACTCTAGTAAGTGATATCATAATGAAGAGAATTTTCTTCACTTAAATATCTTCATTTTGTTTCCATTTTGTTTTGTTTTGTTTTAAAGGCAATCTGTCAATTAAAAACGTTGTTTGTAAAATTTATCATAAACTTTCTTTGATTGGTTATCAAGTGCATTTCATAACAAAGTTCTACTAATCAAATTTGTCACCTTATCGAGGTAACTTGTTTCAAATTCCTGAAACGTCTGTTTTTTCTGGACTGTACAGATATTGTAATACATTTTCATGTTTCGTTTGAACTAGTGTTGAGTGAAGACAGTTATCCAATTCACTACTTATGCTGATATAAGTAGTATACACCACACTATTATTTTCACTATTACGTTTGTATATGCATTTTATTGATCTATTTTTCGTTTTCTTTTAGATCACTCAATTAAAAATTGATAATAATCCATTTGCTAAAGGATTTCGAGACAATGGTAGTGGGCGTCGTGAAAAGAAGTAAGTCAACCCTTTATTTTAATATCTGTTCAGTCTATATGTATCATTAATTTTAGTTTTGATTAAATATGCGCTTATGATGCGTTGTATTAACATTTATATGCGAAGGAATGACTAAGTTCAAGAAGTATTATAAGCAAAGATGGATGGTGGTAACAATAGAATTCAGGACAGGGGTTTCATCCTATTTGGGACTAGTCAGTTGGATGTACCTGCACCCTATTTACAAGCTAGTGGCTATCTTGACTCAATAGCTCAGTCAATAATGTAATGATTCCAGAGCGAACGGTATTAATTTCTAGTCTCGGAGTGAACATCAATTGTGGGATGCAGGTACATTCAGTTGACGAGTTCTAAACAGAGTGGAACGCACGTCCTGGATTCCATTGTTAACAATAATCCAATCTTTGTTTATAATGCTTGTGACTTTAGGCAATATCGAGGCAATCCGTACAGAATGCACATATGTCAATAAAAAACTGAATAATTGTTGTTCTAAGCATCAATCGGAAGATTCAAACAAACAATACAAAATGCATCATAACTTTAAGAAGAATTTGAAAATTTCCATCACAAAGCTATGATCAATAGATTTCATTGATTTCAATAGTAAAGGATGTATATTTATTCATAACGATAATTCTTTATACAACAATTACATTGATTAAGTAAACTTCGGAATATGAACTGTTTGATGTCAGATCAGTGGGATCAGAGTAATAAGTTCTTCATATGGTCTGGATGACATGGCTCAAAATTGTTTGTAATAGTGCAGGTGCATTCACTCTTTGTGCCCCCCCCCCAAATTCTAATCTTCTGTATTCTTTATGTCCCTTTTCTTTTTTTCCTTCCAAATTTATCTCACTGGATTATACTCCTTGAATAACATCTTCAAACCCTAATGTTCCCGATTACTGCTTGTACTTTTACTATCTCTACCACTATGGGATTTGAATCGACAATTGTATTTCTGTGCTAATGTGGTATGTCAACTTGAACTGATGTACGTACGTACGAAGTTCTACATTGTTACTGACTGATTATACTCATCCCAAAGCGATAAAATTAAGTCACACCAGTTAGAAAAAACAAATCTCTTCAATATCATTTATGAACAAAAAAAAACAAGGATGCCCTTAACTCTTGAAAATGTATACAAATCCAATGATAGGTAATATTTACTAAATTATATTTCCTCTATTCAATATTATTCATATTCGGAAGTTTACTTTTCTTTCTTTCTTTTCTCTCTCTTTAAATTTGATTTCATATCTGAATGACATAATCTGATTCTTCTGATTGAACTACATAATCATTTATTTATAGTAGGCGGAATTGATAATCATTCTATTTAAGATTGAAGAATAGATTATACCACACCTTAATTCTTATGTTTTTATTGTTCATTATTACTATTATTATTGTTAGTAGTATTGTTGTTGTTAGTAGTAGTAATAGTAGTATTATTGTTAGTAGTATTATTATTTAAACAAGACCAAAAACGATACCACTTGAAAAATACAATCACTGAATTGTATTGTATTATATTATTAACATCATTATATACATATAACTTAATAAATACAATTCATTTAAAAATTGAATTAAATATTCACACTAATTTGATAATTAAGAAATGAATTATTTATATTTTTCACTATGAATTGATCATTATTAGTTAACTATTAAAAACCTGGAAATAGTGAACAAATATCTTATTCAAGTATGGGACTTTTAAGTAGTAGATATTTTTGAACCCATTCAAGACTTCTAATCTCACCATGAATGCTAAGGTATCATCTAACTAAGGTCAGTCTTCAGTATAGAGGTTTTGGAGATTATTAAGTTTTTGATTGAGATCATGAACTGATTGATGTTAGACCACCGTTGAAAATCTGGAAGCATTGGATGACCGTCTCGTCCTAGTATGGGACTTCTCAGTAGTGCGCATCCACGATCTCACCAATCTGTAATTAAAATTATGAAAAATCATTAATCTTCCTTAAATGCTCTAGTACGATCGAGGGTGGAGAGAGTCAGCTCTCCCTCTCGAAATTCTCTCATAAGGCCACGCGTATACAGCCACTGTCAGAGAAGTCATACTCACTGCCTTCTCATGGTATTATTGTTGTTTACGAAATTGAGAGGATGAAAAGCCAATGTCCGGCTCCTTAGTTGGGTTGGTGGACACAGGGGAACCCTAATTTCAGACCAAGTATAAAGTACACATTGGTTATTTTTCTTTTCTGATTAGTGTCTTATATACGATGACCATGAAAATTTATTTTTAATAATCAATTAATAAAATTTCGAATTCAATTAACTTATTGATTTAGAAAATAAATAAATAAAATGAACTCAGCAGTTGGCATCCACGAAACCGCCCTGCGAGATTCGAATCTAGGACTTATCAGTCTCGCGCGCGAATGCTTAAGCTCTAGACCACTGAGCCGGTATCCAACGGTCTTAGAGTCTAACTACAACCAATCCATGGAATTGAGCCATCGTTTACCATTGGATTGTGGATGCGCACTGTTGAGGAGTCTCACACTAGAAAGAAACAGCCATCCAATGCTTATAGGTTTTCCATGGTGGTTTAACTTCAATTGACTCATGAATTCAACTATAAAATTACTAAAATCCCCACAAAATCCTCTTCTGATATTTTATGATTGTTTTATTATAATTGTAAAATTAATCCAACTCTAGTTTTTTAAAATACTTATGATTTGATTACAATATTGAAGCCATCCACACTGGATGCATACATACCAAAAATATGACTGATCGATTTCAGTCCTTAACAACAACAACAACGAGAAAATGTGGAAAAAACCCGTTGTGAAATAATCGGAAACGAGTCCTGTTGCATAATCCTGTGATTGTCTGGACTCAATAGCTCGGTAGGTAACACACTAAGTATTTGAAGTGGAACTTATCAGGTTCAAGTTTCTCTGGGATGCAGCAAGTACATCCAGCTGATAAGTCCTAAATATGACAAAATGTACTTCCTGGATTTTACTATTAGTCACTGTCGAACTCTATTTAACATCGTGAGTTATTATTATTTTCTGCTTGATTGACTGAAACTTAAGCGCTCGCGCGTGAGACTAGTATGTCTTGTGTTCGGATCTAGCGGGCGGCAAGATCGTGAATGAGCACTGCCGAGGAGTCCCATACTAAGACGAAACGGCTGTCCGGTGCTTCCAGGTTTTCCATGGTGGTCTATCTTCGATTGACTCATAATCTCAACCGTTGAAATTACTAAAACCTTCACAAAACCCTTTCTGAAACTGAATTGAAATTTACACCGAACATGAAGTGTGTTAAACACCACACTTAGTAGTCATCAATTTTAGAAAGTCAGATAGTCAAAGTGGTTTTCATCTATGTAAGTTATCTGAAACATTGATATTCAACACCACTATATAAGCATGTGTATTTATTGTTAAGAATTCAACTATGATGTTCTCTCTAGTTTACAATGATTCCCTGAATTGACATCGATTTACAGTGTAGACCAGCTTCCTTATGAAATTAGATAAATATTTACAAAAATTACCTATTTGAATAACAGTTAGCAGTGTAATCAAGGAAAAAAATTTCATCCTATTTGAAACTCCTTAAACAGCTGTAACTGAATCTCAGTGTTGGCGCTCATACTAAGATTTAAACCCAGAATTTTTAGTTTCAGAAGCCAACTTCACCAGTTTGTACAACTGGTATGAATTATTTTTCTGACGCATTGTATTTTCTCATTGTTACTGTTAAGGACTGTAACTAATCAGTCTTTGAAGGGGTTTTGTAGAGATTGTAGTAATTTCAATAGTTGAGATTATGAGTCAATTGAAGCTAGACCACCGTGGAAAACATGGCAGCACTGGACGGCCGTTTCGTCCTATTGTGGGACTAATCAATATAGATCACTAGTGACTGGTTTCAAGATGTATATCCTGGAGTTCTAGTGAGAAGCAGTGACCAGTGGAGTTCAACCGGGTCAGTTGTGAGACTGTAACTCTCTGATGACAATAGTGAATGTGTTGCTCGATTTTGTTGATTGGTTGAAGTTAGACATCAACACCGCTGGATGCCAGCCAGCTCAATGGTGTAGAGGGTAAGCGCTCGCTCGCGAGATTGGTAGGTCCCGGGTTCAAGTCTCGCGAGGCGGGGTCGTGGATGCGCACTGCTGGGTAGTCCCGTACTAGGACAAGGCGGTTGTCCAGTGCTTTCAGGTTTTCCATGGTTATCTAGTTTCAATTGACTCATCATCAGTCTTTGTTTGGATATGGGGATTTTCAGTGAAATGTCTTGATTTTGTTATTTCGACACAAGATTCATATTTCAACTTATTTACAGAGATAAACTGTATTTCATAACATTAACATACAAATCCTAACAGATAATTTGGTGTCTGTTGCTAACATTATATTCCATGTATCAATAAATGTTTCTAATCAATCACTGTTTCCTTTATCTTTACAGAGGTTTACGATTACGTTACAAACAGCCAATAAATTCTACTGATACTTATGATGATCTAGATGGTATTGAAAGGGATATGTTGAGAAAACGTTCAAATGATTTATACAAAACACATGAAAATATTAAATTTTCGTTTCCGAATTCAATAAATCATCCAGCATATACAAATCGATTGTCATTATTACATAATAACAATAATAATCATGGATTAGATATAAAATGTTCTTCATCTTCTCGTTGTTCTTCAATTTCTACTCCTATTTGTAATGCATCATCATCGATTATATCAACACCGAATCAATTATTTTGTGGATTATCTAACTCTTTATCTTATACTTCATCAGATCAATGCTCATTATATTCAATCAACAATTTACATAACTGTGGTAATAATAATCATAATAGTAATAATAATAGTAAATCAGTTGATTCTTTATCACCATTATCATCATTATCATTTTGTAATTTATCAGTTGATAAATTATCTACTACAAAAGATCTATCATCTCCATCTTTGTCATTACCATATCCACTATGGTCAGGTAAGTATTATTAATGTCTTAGAGTAGTTACATTCATTTTTTAATACCTAAGGTTAATTGAATTCTGTTTAGTGATAATTAATAATCATTTTATCATTTTTAAGGGTTTCGTCAATAACATATACATGCATTTCAGAGAGTTACGAATATATGGAGGTATTCGACAAGAAATGCTTAACCTCAATTCCATTCTTGCTGCACTGGCCTATGAAGTATACCCACAATCTTGATGGAACTGATGTTCTCTGTAGTACAGAGACTCATGTTACCTAGACACAAAGTTTAATAATTTATCACATAATTAGTCGAGCTATGATTAATCTTTTGTAGGACTGAGATATTTAAAATCAGTTGATCCTTTAATGGTGATCAATGTCACGCTTATCTAATCCTTAATAATAATAATAACAATAATAATAATAACAATAATAATAATAATCGAATTCTATCAACGAGGTTGCAGTGTGATCACCAGATAATTAATCCGACTAGAGTTAAGTCTAGGATTGTCTGTAGACTATCTCGAATCTGCTAATATCTTAGCCTAGGAAATGCGTCATCAAGTAACTTAACCTAGTCAATTTATCACATAATGGTCGATAGAATTCGATCATTATTAAGGACTAGACTGATATAACATTACTCATTGCTCAATGATTAATTATTTGTAAATTCCAGTAAGTATGGATTATACAATAAATAAACCACTGTCAAAAATACATCATGTTATTCTCATTTCATTCAATGACTACTGTAGTTGGTTGCCAGATCAATTCACAATTTACTATTCCAACCAAACATTTTGTTAAATTTGAGGCTAGGCTAAAAACCGCGAATCACTGGGAAACTACTTTGCCCCAGTAAATGACTCATCATTAGTACCCATTCATAATCCCTCTACTGGCGATAGGATAAGATTATAATTTATGAATGAACCGATGAAATTAAAAATAACAAATCTTGGATTTCACTGTGAAGTTCATTCGTTCATATGATTAAATAGCATTTTGGCATTATAACTAATATCAATTCGTGATGAGAACCTTAACGTTGAATTCAATCCCTAATTTCTAACTGTAAATCCAAATCTTAATTCCTCATAAATTTATACTCTTTTTTGACACTAGTAAATAGGTGATTTTCCTCAAGTTTACTTTATCCTCATTAAAAGGTCATTCACAAATTGTAGTCTCATCGGAGATAGAAAATCGAACATTTAAGCTTCATGAACAGCTCATAAACTTTGTACTACTGAGTAGAAGTTGTAGATTCTTTTTGATGAGTAGCAGTGTATTGGGATAAAACAGATCTCTAATGCTTCCTTTTTTTTCTTAATAGTTATCTAAATGATTAGTCCATGATATGAACCATAAAAATCAATGATATTTTTATATTTATCCAATTAGTAATACATCTACCATTGCAAACTACTAATAATACTATCTATTAAAAGAAATTTAATTCATTCTTAAACATCTCATTTCAATAGGATATTTTGATCCAACATCATTGAATTCAAAGTTGATATCAACAAATTTACCACGAAGTCAACATACAGTACATTACTGTCCAAAGATATCTAAATCATCATCATCGTCATCCTCATCATCATCCTCTTCCTCCTCATCAATTGAATATTCTTTTAATAAAATACAAAATAATCATTCTATGGAATTTCAACGTCAACATCAAAGACAACAACAATTTATGGATAAAACTGACAAATTGTACGATATAAATGAAATGTTATCTGCAACAAATAATTCCTTTACTTTACCATCTTCAACAGTAACAGTTATATCATTGTCATCAAAGCCAACATCATCATTAACATCAGGATTATCATCTCCGTTAGTAGGAACACCATCAGTAATCATTGATACCACCAACACGAAGACGACAACGACGATGATGACAACAACATCAACATTAAAATCAAGTCAATCATTACCGTATTCAACACTAACTACATCTGTTTCCGATAGAATATCTGGATTAGCCGGAGGAACAGGAGAGGGAATAACGGAATTACAACTGTTCTCAGATAATTTAAAACGTAAATATGATGAGATGAATAAATATTGTCAAGAAGATTGTAATTCCTCACAGAGTCATAAAGATTTAAATTCATCCAAATTATGCTGTTCGGTAAGTTCATTTTAAGATGAATCAAGTCTATAAATTTAAGCTTCACGTCCTAGACTGAATGTCTTGGGTTCGATTCCTACATTTTGAGTCGTGAATGCTCACTGATGAAAAGTTTCATACTAGGACGAAATGGCCATCCAGTGCTTCCAGGTTTTTAATGGTAGTCTAACAGTGATCCATTCATGATATCAATCTAAAGTAATTAGGATAACGTAGAACTTTTACTCTATAAAAATTATTATTAAATCTGAATTGTACATTGAAAGTATATCGTAGAAGTAACTCCATTTAGATAATGTTTTTGAGACAAAAAGTTGTTACTTTCAATATAGCCACATTTATAAACATTTCTAAAGAGAGAACTGAAAACAAACACCTTATCTGAAAGAGCTAATTCTACGATGTACTCTCAATGTCCAATTCAGATTTACTAATTATATCTATAGACAAACTGATAGAGCTGCAATAAGTTCATCGCTTAGTCACCTCTTAGCTGATTGTTCTATGGTTAATCTAGAAATCACGGAACTTTTACTTATTATTAAGTGTTATATATCAATAGTTCGGTATTGTTCACTTCAATTGACTACACTGTTTATATTTATTAGTTACATATAGTAGATACATTTTAAACTTGTTACCAAGTTAAACCTTATAGTAATTTTCATCAGGATATGAAATCACTTGAAGGAACAGTAAAAAATAAATTAAGTAACACTAAATACTTATTCAACTGTCATTTGAGCCTGTTCACTATTTTTCGCTGTTCACCCTAGATAGTTAAGAACTTTCATAACTCGAAACATAACAAAATTTGTATAAACCATTCAATTCGAATTCATTCATTTTGAACTATAGCATTACTTACTTACTTACGCTTGTTACTTCTCGTAGAGGAGCATAAACCGCCCACCAGTACTCTCCATCCAACTATGTCCTGGGCAATCCTTTCCAGCTCTTCCCAGTTGTTATTCATCCTTTTCATATTTGCTTCTATTTCCCGGACGTTCCTTGGCTTTCCTCTTTTTTGCTTCCCTTCAGGAAGAAGTGAGTAATTACTATGAAAATCACTGTCTTGCATGAGGTTATTAGCCCTCTGAATAACAATTCATTGATAGCATCTCTGATGTGATGATGATGATGATGATGATGATGAATAAAATAAACTTGAAACGGATCAATGGAATAAGTTCCTCAAATTTACACAAATATATCTGTCTGAAGAATGTCAAAATAAAAATTTCTATGGATTGCGTTCGATTAACTAAGTAAATAAATCTCATGAATGGATCTCTGTTAAACCACCATTGAAAACCTATAAACACTGGACTACCGTTTCGTCCTAGTATGGGACTCCTCAGCAGTGTTCATCCACGATCCCTTACGAGAGACTCGAACCCAGGGCCTTCGGCCTCATGAACCGACGTTTAACCTCTAGACCATTTAGTTGCCATTCAACGGTGTTAATGTCTAGCTTCAACCAATCCACGATATTGGACCACCGTCCACCATTGTCTTCATTGAGTAACTGCCTCCTAACAGATATGGTTGAACTCCATTAGTCACGGCTCCTCACTAGAGCTTTACGAGATCCATCTTGAAGCCAGTTACTTGTGAGCACATGATATTTATCAGTTTAGAGTTAAAGAGATCGTTGAGTTTAGATTAGTATCAATAATCATCTGTTTAACTTTAAATGAAAATATATTCTGATAATATTTTCTCAGTTTTAAAAAAAGTGAAATGATAAACTGATATCCATACACTATCTCAAAAAATATCATTGTTTTACTGAAAATTATCAATTTAACTAAATTGTCAATCAATCACTGACAGTATTTATTTACGCGGTAATTTACAATCAAAAGTAATTCAGTTTCAATGGAATCAATAATTTGATTCGATCAATAAATCTTTAATTAGTAAATTACTTATTATTGTAAACGAAAATGGCTTAGGTGTTGGAAATTGTACCACAATCATAAGTTAAAGTTAAGAACTATGTTTAAGACAGTCAGTCAGTCAGTAACAACGTAGAACTTCGTACGTACGTACATCAGTTCGAGTTGCCACACCACCTTAACACAGAGATGCAGTTGTCGATCCGAATCCCGTAGTGGTAGAGGTAGCAAGAGTGTAAGCAGTGATCGGGAAGATTAGGGTTTGGAGATGTTATTTAAAGAGTATAATTCAGTGAAATAAATTTGGAAAGAGGAAAAAAGGGACATGAAGAATTCAGAAGATTAGAATTTGGGAGAACACAAAGAGTGGATGTACCTGCGCCATTGCAAACGATTTCGAGCCGTGTCATTCGGGGTCTCTAACCATCGGTTGCTATCATCTCGCGGTCCCCAACCAGGTAGTCTACACCTATTAACATGACTCAGACCACTTGTCAGTGACTTCATGGACTTGTGCCATGTTTTGGTCTGGCCGCCCCTAGCTTTCTTCCAACCTACTCCTATACCACTGAACATCGCACGTCGAGGCAGTCGGTCGTGGGGCATACGTAACACGTGTCCCAGCCATCTCAACTGATGAAGTTTCTTTACTTCATCAATTGATTTGCCATCCTTACCTAGTACCCGTTTCCTAACAACTGTGTTACTTACTCGATGGTCCCATGATATACGAGCAATGTTTCGAAGACACCTATGATCGAATACTAGTAACCTACGAATATCCTCTACTCTTACCGGCCATGTTTCACTGCCATAAAATAGGACGGAACGAATTGCTGCGCAGTAAACACGTCCTTTGGTTGATAGACGGATATCTCGCCTACGCCATAAATGACGCAAGTTGGCAAAAGCTAGTCGAGCCTTCTGTATCCGTGCTGAGATTTCGTCACACACCAGACCACAAGGGCTGATGAGACTTCCAAGATAAGTGAAGCGGTCGACACACTCAACTACTTCACTCCCTATCACTAGTTCGGGTGTCAATGTAACCCAATCCTGAAGCAACATTTTGCATTTTGAGGGAGAGAATCGCATCCCGATATTTAATTGAATTAATCCAATGCATTTTATTCATTAGTAAATGATGCACTGAATCTGCAATGTATTTTGATTCAGGAATTCTTTTTAATTATTGAATTTGTACACTATAACAAATTCATTGTATGGTTACGCAAGAAATATCCTTTTGATCTTTAGTTTTAAGTATTTTAAGAACTAGATAAAAGTAATTGTCTTTTAGTCCTGACTTTCGTTGATTATTGAATTTCTCACAAAAATCTTAAATCTTATTAACTCATCGATATAGTTTGACTCATGAATGTAATATTTACTAATTTGATATTTTAATAGTTCAGTTCATGAGTCGATTGTGCTAGACGACCGTTGAAAACCTATAAGCACTGAAGGGCCGTTTCGTCTTAGTATGGGACTCTTCAACAATGTGCATCCAAGTCCCATGCACAGGACTCGAACCTAGGACCACTGAGCCGGTAATCAACTGTGTCAGTATCTAACTCCAATCGATTCATGATCTTGCATAATACTTCATCCTTTATCTGAGATGGATAACTATCTAACACATAACACGGATTGGACTCCAATGGTCACGGCTTCTCGAATGCCATATGAGGAATCATAGATACACACTGCTTAAGATTCTCATACTGAGACGAAGAGGCTGTTCAGTGTTTTTTAGGTTTTCAATAATGATCTAACTTATATAAACTCATAATGAGATGATGGAGAAGATTTGTATCTCAGGTGAATGATTTTGATGGAGCTTTTTTCTCTAAGCTGGATGATTTGTTCATGGAGTTTTCATCATTCTTCTGATACTTTCATTCACAGTTATATAATATATCCTTTTGGGCTAGGGTAATTTTACATTGGTTTTCAGGAGAACCAGACACCATCCGAACTTTCACGTGATAACCCAAACAGTACAGCTCAGTCCCGTTTAACAGGAGAACCAGACGCCATGTAGGCTTTAACGCTACAATCTGAATAGTACAGCTAAATCTTGTGGCGCAACCACACAGGCCCTCGGAAACACTGAAAAGCAACCACCAGTATGAATGTAATCGGTTAACTAGCAAACTAATTTTTGCATGAACAGTCAGCAAAACTTACCAAAGCAATGCCGAACTATCCACAATACCAGTGGCGATCCTTCAGTTTCATCTGAGACCTTCAGCTCTACATAGCCACATGGCTTACAACACATATGTAGGTTAGTAGGTGAAATAGTCCAGCCTAAAGCGTTAGGACTTAAACAAAGCTTAAAACCAATTGTCTGATGTCGGAATACTATAACTAGACCATTAAGATCATTTTTATCACATTTGCGAAATGTTCATTTTTCCAACTTTTCAGACCCTGAGTTAAGGGTAATATTTGATTGTTTACTTCATTTTGTTTGTTTGTTTAATTTTTCTTTTAATTTCTAGCCTATAAAAAAACAATGTATTCCAAAAACGATTACAATAAATAATGAATCTAATTATGTTAATGTAAATGAATATTCTAATAATCCTATAAATTCTAACCGAATTCTAACAAATGAACAATTATATTGTAATGAAATAAAATGTAATAATGAATTAAATCATTCATTATGTTGTAATTGTTCTAATTCATTATCAACATTATCACATAGTAATATGATTAATTCATCCATAACTACATCAACATCATTAACATATATGAATTCATCTAAACGTAGTTTCAATATAAGTTGTTTATTAGAATAATCCCTATCCGCCTCCTCCTCACCCCCAGGAAAAAAAAGACACATATAGTTGATGAATATCCCCACTTTTTTTTTGAAAAAAAATGTAAAGTAATCAAATTGCATTTTATCTTATATTTTAATATACTACTTAATGATAAGGTATAACAGAAACTCTTGAATAACAGTAGTCACAATACTATCAGTAATTGTAATGACGTATATATATATTTATTGTTAGTGAAAAGAATATAATATGATTCTGTATTGTATATAGTGTATATAGAATGATAAATATAAATAAATATGTGAACCATTCATTTCATAATCACATCAACTAACTAAACAAAGACACCATTTTGTGTGAGTTTTTCTTTGATCATATTGTTGCCAGGCATTATTAGCCGATACAAAAACATGGATATATATATATATATATATATGTAGAGAGAACCTAAGTGAATGTATATATTTAAAAAAAACTCTATCGAAGCATTACACTTGTTATAAATAGTTTCGAAGAGATTGACAACAGCAGCAAAAAACAACTTGTTTTATTAAATTACATTAACAATGTGCTTTTTTGAATTCTTTTCAACTGTATTTTTCCCTCCCCCCAAAAAAAACTATATTTCACTTTTTTAACATTTTCTTTCCATTATTGCGATCATCCATATTCCCTCCCCCCTGGCCCTCTCCCTCCCCTCTCTCTCTCACACACACATACACACACAAATACATATACACAACCCAATCAATCTTATGTGCATCCACCTTATGTAATATGACTTCTTTTTTTTTCTTACATATAAGAATGGCTGTTGAGTAATAAAAGTATGGTGATTTAAAATTATTTTTATTTTGCATAAAATCTATATTCATCATGGTTACTTGTTTGTTTTGTTTTTCGAAATTTTCCTCTAGTCTACAGATATATTTCTATGATAAAACTCTAAGTACATATAATGTAACTAACCATTTGTTTCATACGCTTTTTTTTCTCTCTCTCTCTCTATATATATATATTTTAACACATTTTTATTGCATAATACTTATGTCTAAATATTGTAATACTAATAATAATATGAATATGAATGTGAATGAGTCTAGTGAATACATCATAACCATATAATTTCACCTACAAATTGTATCCATAAAGTAAATATAAACGAAAAAAATTTTCCTCTATTTTTTTTTGTTCTTACAAACTTTGATGGCCAAAACAAGAACAAACAACAACCAACAACAGGGAATGTGAACGGTAATCATTCAGTCTTCTGTTTGTGTTCTGTTTTTGTCTCTTAGAGTTTTTTCTCTCTTATTCATTTCTTCTCTTGTACAATTCGGTTCGTTCATTCATTCATTCGTTCGTTCGTTCGTTCGTTCGTTCGTTCGTTCGTTCGTTCGTTCGTTCGTTCGTTCGTTCGTTCGTTCGTTCGTTCGTTCGTTCGTTCGTTCGTTCGTTCGTTCGTTCGTTCGTTCGTTCGTTCGTTCGTTTAAAATAGGTGAATAAATGAAAAATAATAATTGATCTATTAAAACATAATAAGTCATCTTTATTATTATTATTATTATTATTATTATTATTACTGTTATCATTATGTTAAAATTCAATAGTGAAATATTTATTCAAATGAATTCATTATTATGAAATAATAAATAAATAAGCTGATTATAAATGTGTATTGTTTTAATTTATTTTTAAAAATAACTAATATGTGAAATGGAATAGTTTACAATTGTGTTAATCACTAGGTGGTGATCAATGTTATGTATTTTAGGTTCTTCTTAATGCAGATCGAATCCTATCGATCAAGTTGTAATATGACCACTAGTCTAGATGACTTCGATATTATGTGCACTATGTTGGGATGAGATGGTACAGCCGATGGTGGGGAGAGTTAGTTCCCCTCCTTCTCTCTCTCACGAAATGCTCTCACATGACCATGCGTATACAACTGCTACTAGGGAAGTACTATTCATTGACTTCTCGCGGTATTACTATTGTTTACGAAGTTCATAGGATGATAAGCAAATATCTGGCGCTTTAACCAGATATGTGGACACAGAGGGTTCATTTAAGAGAGTTAGAAAACCCTGATTCCAAACCAATGGTGCACATAAGCTGGATCCAGGATTCTGAGGGAATAATTGGCGTATAAACCAACCGTCGGTCACCGGCTACCACGGGACTGCATTGCCTGACATTGCTGCACTGTCTTATGAATCAGACTTTTGGATTGAAAACTCCGGGTGTGGCTTCCTGAGAAAACTACATGCTTCCGTCTTGTCACCCGGGTAGCATCTCAGCCTACACATAAATCAAGTGACTTATGTGGCGCACTTGTATTCGGTGCCTCTGTACCAATATTTGTGTTCAAATAAATAAATAACTGTGGTTGGAGGTAGTCGATAGGAAACCCTGGACTTAAGTTTCTTGCTATTTTGACATTCATTACCAAGGTGTACCTGATACACATGGCAATGGTCACCACCCAGTGATCATCTTGATATGTCTTGTCGATTGAACGCTACTTATTATATCTGGTCGTTGCTGATTGTTATGTCGGAAACACTTGTCACTTATACTCAAAACGAGGTACCTCTACAATTCCCACGACGCGAAAGTAAGAACACAAAGACTGGTGTAAGTGAAGATTTATTAACCCCTAAAACTCAACGACGACTCTAATCGAAAATACACTCACTTATATATTGATTATACACCCATTTTGATTAAAAATTAGGATGAAATCACATATATAAAAAAAAACCCAGTTATAACGAATCACATACTGAGCATAGTTCATGTCAATCGAATACAAGAATATCGCATATTATACAGAATCAAATATCATACGAGAAAAGAAAACTGAATACAACATTGAGTGACCATTACATTGAATCAAAACGGAAGTAAACTTGAACAATAACTCATAATGAGTAAAATCAATCGAAAATTGACTTTTCTTTCTATCATATCACCTCTCAGTCCTAGAGGAGATCAGTCGCGGCGCGGCTAGCCCAATTGTAACGTTTCTGACAGTGAATCTGGTTAGCACGAGATCGAATCCTTCAGGGAGCATTAGTTTCCTTAAAATTACAGGCAGACCTTGCTGATGAGTACCAAAGTAGCATGAAACCTAGGTTCAGGGTTTCCTGTCGACTACTTCCAACCACCATCTGAACTGAATACTCAATAACTGTTTAAATAAGATAATTGAAACAATCATAAGCTATCTAGAATCAGATAACAAATAAAGTATAGATGTGTTAAGCAGTTTTAGGTAATCGAAATGAAATCCATGACTTAGATTTTATGCTAGTTAGCGTCCATCAATAAAGTGTATTTATCATTTTTTGATGACTGACGCTTCTTGGTGAAATCCGATCCACTTTACCTAACTTCATACTCTAAGAGGTTAGTAGTAAGGTATTTGGGTTACAACTGTCATCTTGTAGAACTGAGATATTTACAGTTAATTGATCATTTAGTTATAGTCAATATTCTGTTTATCTGGTTCGTTGGTTGTGTTCAAACTCTATTAATCAATTTGCAATATGGTCACTAGTTTAAAGGACTCGAAATCTCATATACGGTGTTGCGATGTAAGGTGGTCGGAGGTAGTTGTTAGAAAACTCTGAACTTTTTTATTCATGTAAACTGTCCTTCGACAACAAGGTTTATTAGTAATCTGGAGAGAACGGATGTTTCTCATGGGGTTTAAACTCACATCATGTGGCTTCACAGCATCATCCATGTAATGTAAAGTCATTTTAATTAATGACTACATTTTAACATGACCGAGAGCATTTAATCAGCAACGAAACAATATATACAAACCTAACACTGGTCATTACTTCATGATCGATCAATCATAGAAAGTATATCACCTTTGCTATATACAATTTAACAATATTAACCCATCATCCATCTTTTCTCACCAAGAATATGATAAGTTTAAAAATCCAGATTAGAATCCAATCATCAATATTTAATGACTGAATTATATTACAATATACCATGATCTTTTTATAGGTGTCTTTATCTTGCATTCATGCATACATTCAACGTTTCTCCTTTGAATTTTAAGAAATCTATTAATATAACCAACAGATTATCTAAGCTACAGTTGAACTTAATCATTATATCCCCAGTACCGAAAACTTTGAATGGTCGAGATTTGGATAGAAGTCAAGTCTCATAATGAAATTTTTAAAAGTATCAAAATTGTGTATTAGATGTAAAATTAAATTTGTCAACTATTATAGGTTTGCGACCACAAATATGGGATTCAAGCAGCGAGTCCTTGTTTCAAGTATGAAGCAGAGATGCTGGAAGGAATCCAACGATGAGGTACTAAGATGGTGCAAGGTCTATCTGACCTATCTTATGAAAACAGACTGAGACACCTCAACTTATTTCCGTTATCTTACCGTAGAGTACGGGGCGATCTAATATTGGCTTATCGTATACTGAACGATGACCGTGGTATTACATGTCTTGTCTCTTACTTCCGTCCAGGACTGACCATTTGAGAGGGCATTCGAAGAAAGTTCAAAAAGCGAGATCAAATCGTTTACGTCTGGAGTTTCGTTTCTCGCACCGAGCAGTGAATTACTGGAATTCTCTACTGGAACACGTAATATCAGCACCTTCTGTTAATATATTCAAAACGAGATTGGATCTCCATAGTATTTCAAACTGCATGGATTAATATAGGTCGAGAGACCTCTTATCCTTATTACTGAGGACTGAAGACCGACAGTCTTTACACTTATCTTTGTATAATTGTTGTCAAGTATTTATGAATGAAATAACCTTATTTGAATGTTATTATTTGCTTAATACCTTCAAATGATTATATTTTTTATTGATGAAATAGATGAGTGAGTATTTTTATAAGGTACAATATTCCAATATACAGAAAAAAACTACGGTAATCTCAATCATTTGAGTAACTCATATATTGAAAATCAAATTTCATACATATCAGTCTATTCATGATGAATAAATTCTGTGTTACGATGTATTTTCATATGAATTCACATTTATGTTTACTTATTTACGCCTGTTACTCCTTATGGAGGAGCATAGGTTGCCTACTAACATTCTCCATCCAACTCTCTCCTCGGTAATTTTTTCCAATTATTTCCATTTGCTAGTCATCCTTTCGATGTAAGCTTCCAATTTCCGACGCAGTTTATTTTTTGGTCTTCCTCTTTTTCAGTTTCCGTTCAAGATTTCAAGTTAGCGTTTTCCACGTGATGCAGCTTGGTGATTTCTCAAATGTATGTCCTATTCATCTCTAGCATATTTTCCTAATTTTCTCATCATCTAGAAGCTGGGTTTTTTTCTCTAACAGAGAAGACTGTTGCCGATGGTATCCGGTCAACGAACATTGAGTATCTTGCGTAGATAATTGTTGACAAATATTTGTACTTTTTTGGTGGCGGTTGTAGTAGTTCTCCAAAATTTAGCTCCATACGATAGAAATGTCTTGACGTTCGTATTGAAGATTCTGACTTCGACCTTGGTTTACGTAGTAACTAATTAGTTCATTAAATTAAACTATATTCAAAGCACACATTTTAAAAACAATTCATAACTTAGCTTAAGACGTATAACGAATAAATTTATTATACAGATGTTTCTGAAGCAAAGATGGATAGTGGCTAGCATCGGAATCTGGAACGCTAGTTCCATCCTATTTGGACTCGTCAGCTGGACGTGCCTGAATCTTAGAGTTGATGTTCACTCTGGGACTCAAACCCAGTACAATTCTTTTCAAACGTCATCGCGATATCAACTAAGCTACTGAGTCCTGATAGCCACTTGCTGGTGCAATGGCGTGAAGTTCAATTCACTTGGTATTGTTTGCTTGTGTCTTCCCATTGTTGATTAGGACTGTAGTTGATCAAACTGTTATTGGCATATATACATCCTATGCGGACTGCCTCGATATTACATTAAGTCACAAGCTTTATAAGCGCGTCCTGGATTTCATTGCTAACCACTATATATCTTTAACTATAATGCTTGTGACAATATCTAGGCAGACTCTACAGAATACACATATGCCAACAAGAGACTGATCAATTGCAATAATAAACTACAATGGGAAGATACAAGGAAACAATATTTGTATTTATTTAAGTAACGATTTCAGTATATAAAGACAGGATAAAACTCAGAATCTGGTTTTAATTGAAAATTGAGATTGAACAATAATTAGCGGTCAAATGCCATCACATATCTTCACTTATATCAATGCATGTGGACAATTGCGGACATACGTTCAACTGGAAAAATGTTGAGACCTCGGATAGAGGCAATTCTAAAAACACAAAAGAATTT